ACTGAGCACATTTCCTCACTCTGCTGTTGTCTTTAGTCTCTCTTCTACATGTTTATTGCAATTATTCTATCAATAACTTGTTTTCTTTGCCTCTCTTCCAGAGGAAAATACACCTGGGCCAGTTCTTTCCTGTCCCTCAAACTCAGCTGGTCCTGAGCCTGGTTCTGGTTCTGGTGGAGGTTTCTTCCTGTTAAAGGGAGTTTTTCCTCTCCACTGTCACCAATGTGCTGCTCAGGATGGGAGACTGTGATGAAGTGAAGATTCAACGCATTCTTCTGGCTTCTTTAGACTGATTGGTTTTTGTGTACAGAGCCTTGAGAAGATGCTTGTCGGTGCTGTATAAATAAACTGAATTGAATTAAAAAAGTGCATTTCACAGATTTATCTTCTCAGATTCATTGTTGTTTTGCACAAAAATAAACTTTAAGTGGCCGTTCCATTCCTACCAGTCAGAGTGAAAATCCCAACCAGTAGGTTGATCTTGCGTCCAGCCAGTAGTGTTATCTCCATGCTGCCCCCCGAGCACTTGTTCTCCGCCCTCCTGGAGCGAACCGACGCCCAGATCCCCGTACCCAAAATCAACACGTAGAACACCACCATCACTATCAAACCGGGCACATTCAGAGCCATCCTGAGATGCTTTTATGGGCTTTTCCTGTTGAGAGACACAAATTAAACATTATGTTAGAGTGGCTTTAGAATCGTACACGCAGATGGTGTTTTTGCACAGAAAATACAACTAAACAACATTACATGGACGTGTTTGTGTTGAATACTTGCCAGACTGCTGGCCTGCGGGGGAAGGGGAGGGGGGTATGAGGGAAACAAGTGGTCACAAATTCAACTTTGTCTGATACAAAAAGTGCACTGATTTCATGCAGAAGCTTTAAACCCTAATTACGCTAAATAAAATACTAAATATAAAAGTGAAATAAAAGGGTGAAGACAGAAGCAGCAGCATCAGAGGAGACACGGCTCTGCTTGCTTTGCACATGGAGCAAATRAGAAGAGGAGGTGAGGTAGAGGAGTAAAAAATACAGAAGAGAAGGAGGGCGAGGGATGAAGATTTGAAAATAGGGTCTCACCATCGCACTTGGCAGCACTGACCAAGATGGTGGACACATGTTGTCCCCCGTCTTCAGTGGCTGGGAGGGTGGGCAAACATCAGGAAGTGAACACATCTCAGAGCCACATTAGAACAYGAAATTTTACAAAAGCATTTAGAGTCACAGAAGCATCCTGGCTTCRGTTGTAAATGTGAGAAGGAAAGAATACTCGTGTTCAAGATGGAAATTAAGACAAAAATTAAAGTAAAAATGTGTAGTTGTGTCAGAAATAGAATAAAATGTTTTTTATTTGTTGTTTTGGAAAGTTGTCAGTWGCTTTATTTGATCTTATTTGCACTTTGTGCAGCTAACGCTCATAATTTGACAAATGTTAAAGAGATTTTTGTTCCTGATGATAAATTTAGCCCAAGGGGCAGCTGTTATAGTAACCACCTGTAATGAATGGGCTTTTTGAGTTTCACAATTTGTCACACACACCAGAGAAGATTTAAACAGTTTATTGAACAGTGGAGCAGACTTGCGTAACAGGAATCCGGAGTCCTCCAAGCGAGCGACGCTGTCGAGGGAATCCCTTGGATGACGTCACCTGACAGGGGTGACGAAAGGCGAGGATCCAGGAGACAGAGCGTGGGTCAGAACCAGGAAGTCAGAGGCAGCGACAGTGTCAGACGGGGGTGAGGCGAAAGGCGAGGATCCAGGAGACAGAGCGTGGGTCAGAACCAGGAAGTCAGAGTCCGATGAGGTACCGTTCAGGGACAAGGCAGGAGACGAAAAACCAGAAACCAGGAGCAGGATCGTGACCAGACAGACGTGACTTGACAAGGGATGGCTAGAAGATTTAC